GCCTGGAAGAGGCTGCTCAGGACAGGGATGGAGTCCCCATTCCTGCAAAGATTTATTTAGGTTGGACATGAGGGAAAATTCCTGCCTGGAAAGGGTTGGCCAGCCCTGGCAGGGGTGGATCCAATCTCCTCACCCATTCCTTGGTGTTTTCCTTTTGTCATTCCTCTCGCTCTCTCTTTTCCTTCCCTAATCCCTTTTGGAAGGGATTCAGCATTCAGCAAGCTCGGCCTCCTGGTTTTCCAGGATCCTGGAATTAGGGATGTGTTGGAGCAGAATCCACCTGAGCTGGCTGGGGGGTGATTTTGCTCCTGGACTGCTTTGGGAATGACCTTGGATGGAGAAATCAATCCAGGCTGGACAAGGCTTGGAGCAACCTGGGAGAGTGGAAGGTGTCCTGTGAAGGATCAGGAAGCAATCAGAGTGTGGCTGGAAAAGCTGCGGCTCTGGGCCATTCCTGTTGCTTTTCCAGCCGTGTCCTGCTGCGCAGGGATGATATCAGGGCAGAATTTTTTTCTTCCCTCTCTAATTTCCTTGACCCCTTTTTAACTCCGGGCGTTCCCGAGCGCAGGGCTCGGCCTTCCCATCTGGAAAACATTTGAGCCAGCAGGATCTGTGGCTTTGGAGGATCCCGGAGGTTGGGAGAAGGGAGGAAAAGTCAGGCAGCTGATGTTCAGGGGGTGCTGGGATGGCATTCCAGGGGGGAGCGGAGAATCCCGGGATGGGGGAGATGGAAGGATCATCTCATTCCCAGCCCACACATCTTCCATAGTCCAGGTTATTCCAAGCTGGCTCTGGGCACTTCCAGGGATGGGACAGCCACAGCTTCTCTTGGAATTCCATCCCAGTCCCTCACAACTCTCCCAGCCAGGAATTCCCATTGCTGGTGAGGGACTTGGGATGAGGACCTGGAGGGACAGGACTAAGGGAATGGCTTCCAGATGGGTTAGGTGGGATACTGGGAAGGAATCCCTGGCTGGGAGGGCGGTGAGAGACTGGGATGGAATTCCCAGAGAAGCTGTGGCTGCCCCTGGATCCCTGGAAGTGTCCAAGGGCAGGTTGGAATAACCTGGGCTTTGGAAGGTGTCCCTGCCCAGAGAACTGGATGATCCTTCAATCCCTTCCACCACAGAGCATTCCATGCTTGTGATAATCCCAGGATTAAACCTGTGATTCCGGGGGGTTCACTGTGTGCCAGACAACCGACTCCAGCGGCAATTCCAGGGTTCTGGAGTGCTTTGGGTGTGCTGATCCCAGCCTTCCCTGCCTCCTGTGCTGGACAGGTGCCTTCCCTTCCCGCTCCACTTGTTTTCCCGCTGTGTTCGGCAGGGCCTGGAATCTCATCCCACTCCAGGCTCCGGGGTTTTTTTTCCATGTGCTGCTCCACGCCGGAGCTCAGCTGCTCCCAATTACCTTTGCTGGCCCTGGGAGCGTTTGTGCCGGGAGAAGGCTCTGGAAGCGCCGACATCTGGTTGGGATTGGGGCCCTCGCAGGTTCGGCCGAGGTGGGTGGGTGCCTTTTCCTTCCGGCCCCTTCCAGCCTGTGCCGGGAATGCGCTTCCCTGGCTTTTCATCCGCGCCTGCCGCCCCCGCGGCCCGCTCCTCTTCCTCTCCCCCTGCTCCCCCGGACACATGTGGCCCAAATTAAGGGACCTGCTGTTGGAAAAGCGCTGGAAACCTGGGGCAGGTTGGGGAGGGGGGTTTACTTTGGGGATTTTCCCTGAAAATGAGGAAATTTCGCACTGAAATGAGGAAATTTTGCACTGAACTGAGGGATTTCATCCCAAGCCGGGCGGGGAAGAGTGAGGACAGCACGGAGCATGTCCCTCAGGGGTGGGAAAGGAGGAAAAATGGGATTTAGGGAGTATTTTTTTAATTACTATTGGAGTTTTTCCCCTGTCTTGTTTGTCTGTGTGGGTGCATTCCCGGGCTCCAAAGGCCGGAGTGGGAAGCACGAGGCCTGTCGTGACCAAGGAAGTTGTGGCACAAAGGGCAGGTGGACCAGTGGGAGAGGATCCAAGGGAACAGCTGGAGCTGTGGCAGGGGATATTCTGGATTTTGGGATAAGGTTCCCCACGAGGTGGTCAGGCACCGGAACAGGGAAGTGCTCATGGCACTGCCATTCCAGGAACCTTTGGACAACGCTCCCAGGTGGGATTTTGGAGTTGTCCTTGTGGGGCCAGGAGTTGGGACTCCGTAATTCTTAATTTTCCAGCTGGGTTGGGTTTCCAAACACCTGCGGCTGTTCCAGGGTGGATCCTGGAGGCATCTCCCGGTGCTTGGTGATTCCCACTGCAGACGGCGGCTCCTGCCTTGTGGAAATGGGATATCCCGCTCCCGGTTCACCTGGTAGCTGATAGGACTTCTCAAGGCTCTTTATCCCTAATTTGGGAAGCTTTGGATCCCCAAGACACTGGGGTCCATCCAGCAGGAGCACTCTGGGATGCTCAGATGGAAGCAAACCCAGGCTCCATTCTCGGGAATTTAAAGAAAAGGTGTTTGGGATTTGCTCCCAAAATGCCTCCAGTGTGGTGGGATTTACTCCGGAATGGCGTGTTTTTCCGGGATCATTCTTCACCATGTCCTCAGACCTCCCGGGTGAGTCAGGGAGTTGCTAAATTTGGGTTTTCCAGACAGATATTGGTGTCCCCAGATCCAGATTTGCCATCAAATCGGGAATGAGGCTGGGATGGATGGATGGATGGATGGAGAACCATGGAATGTTTGGGGTTGGAAGGGATTTTAAGGATCAGCACTTCCACTGGGAAGGGACACCTCCCACCAGGATGCTGCAAGCTGGCCTGGGACAATTCCAGGGATGGGGATATACTGGGGAGGCCCTGGCACAGATTTGGAAAGACTTCCATCTCTGGAAGTGTCCAAGTCCGGGTTGGAATAACCTGGTCTGTGGAATGTGTCTCTGCCCATGGAATGGGATGATCCTTAAAATCCCTTCCACCCCCAACTGTCATGGAATTCTGTGGTACCTCCCACTGTCTCTCAGGCTTTTCCAAAGCCTCTTCCCTGTATCCCTGACCCTCCCCCTCTGGGATGGGGAGAGCACCTGGAGCCTCATTCCCAAATCCTGAGCAGGCAGCAGGATTTGGTGTTCTGTGCAGTGCATCCATGCCCTTAATCCCAAGAAATGGTGGCATGGGAATGGAACTTCCTCTCCCACGATCCTGGTGCCTTGGGTGGTGTCTCATCCCAGCCGAAATCTCCCGCTCCATGATCCGGGATCTGGTGGGTGCAGAGTGTGTTGCCTCTTGATTTACCCATCCAAAGTCTCCAGCTTTCCTGGGATTCACTCCCACTTCTCCTTTCCTTTGGGGCGTTGGCCCCACCACGGAGCTGCCACTGAAATTCCCAACCCTCCAGATGTGCTGCCCCGGATTGCACCTCCAGGAACTCCAGTGGGATGTCCCTCCGCATCCCACCCCTCAACCCTGCTCTCCCTGTTTTTGGGGAGGTTCTGTGGAGAGGAACCCCTTCAGCCCTGGGGTGTCTTCCAGCTGCACTTCCCTGGATTTCTCTTCCCTATTCTCCGCGAATGCCAGGAGCGGGCGTGGTGCCAACTCCTGGGAGCCACTGCCGCTTCAAAATGGAGGCAGGAAGGGATCCATTTTCATCCAGGAGATGACAGGGATTCAGCCTTCCCGACCATCTGGAGAGCGGGAGCGGCAGGAATCTATCCCACCCTGCACAACACCTTCCCTGCATCCAGCCGGCCTGGCTCAGGGGATCTGGCCTTCAAATTCCTTCCAGAGCTCAGAGGGAGAATTCCAGTGGCCAGGCTCCGGTGGCTTAGGGAAAACCGGGAGCGAGGAGTGTTTGGCACCCGCTCCCGGCTTTTTGTAGGGATGACTCGAGTCGTTCCGGGGAGAGGCGGAGTTTTCCCCCCTGGAGTGTCCCTGTGCTGTGTTGGTGGTCTCGTACTGCTCCAGCTTTTTCAGACTCCTTTCAGGCTGGATCCCTGGGAATTTCATATCCCGGGATAACACCATAATTCTGTGTTCCCAGTGCCGGCATGGTTGGAAAATTAACGTGTGTCCAGCCGAAAGCTGGGAATTTTGGAGCAGTTTCAGCTGTGTGCCAAGGTGGGCAAAGGCCACATGCTTTCATCCCAAAAGAACTCCTCATTGTTCCCAGTTCCTGTTTATTTTAAGCTCCGGGAGGCTCGAGGAGGAACATATGTCCATCTGCTGCCTAATTGGATTTACAGAACCCAGACTTGGACAAATATTCCCGCTCCAAGCTGGAAAATGTCAGCCTGGAGCTGCTTTTGAAGCTGGGAATTGACTTTCCAGTCACCCGGGTTTTGCATTCTGGGGGGATTGGGAAGGGATTTTGCCGGAAAACTCGATTTTGGGGGCTAAACGAGCCTTTTTTTTTTCCCCAGGTTTATGCTCCCTCAGCCAGTACTGCCGACTACAACAGGGATTCTCCAGGTTATCCCTCCTCCAAACCAGCAACCAGCACTTTTCCCAGCTCCTTCTTCATGCAAGGTAGGAAGGAAACGGATTTTCCAGCTTTTTTTCTCCAGGTTTATATTTAATTTGTCTGTAGCTGAACCATTTTGGGATCGTTTTCCTAAAAACCGTGTCTCCATATCCCCGTTTCCCTGCACATGGAATTAGAGCTATGGGGTTAAAATGAGGCTGAATCCCGAATTTTTCCAGGTCTTGCTGCTTCCAGGTTATCGTGATTATGTGGAAATGCAAAGGAATTTGGGACAAATTAATTGATAACATTCCCAGAGTTGGGAAAGATCCACGTAAAATTCGACTCCTCATTTTTTGCCACATTGAGGGCAAAATTATCCACTTTTTAAGGATTAGCATCATAAAATCATGGAATTATTAGGGTTGCAAAAGCCCTCCAAGATTATCAAGCCTGACCATCCATGTCCCCACGTGCCACATCGACGTGTTCTTTGGATACTTCCAGGGATGGAAATCCACTACTGATTATTCCAGGGCTTGAGCACCCTTTCTGTGAAGGAATTTTTTCCTAATCCTTTTCATTTATTATCACCCCAAGAGCTCTGAAGCTCCTCTGGAATTCCAGAGCTGGAGATTACCAGGATTCTAATGATACATCAAAGATTTACCCTTGGAAGTGTCTGAGGCCAGGCTGGATGGGCTGGGAGCAACCTGGGATGGTGGGAGGTGTCCCTGCCAGTGGATTAGACAGTGTGGGATGTGCCTTCCGAACCAAAGTGCTCCATGATTCCCTGATTCCTGTCTTGCAGATGGCCACCACAGCAGCGACCCCTGGAGCTCCTCCAGCGGGATGAACCAACCTGGCTACGGGGGAATGCTGGGCAACTCTTCCCACATTCCCCAATCCAGCAGCTACTGCAGCCTCCACCCGCACGACCGCTTGGTGAGGATCCCGGGGAAGGGACAGCGGGACGGGATGAGGGCTTCCCAGAGAATCCATGGCTGCTCCGGCCCTGCAAGTGCCCAGGGTTGGAGCAACCTGGGCTGTGGAAAGTGTCCCTGCCCACGACAAGGGGTGGGATTGGAAGATCCTTAAAATCCCTTCCAACCCAACCCATTTTAGTGCTGGGAGACTTCCAGGGCTGGGATCTCCAACCTGGAGGTGTTGGAGCAGGTCCAGAGGAGACCACGGAGAGGCTCCAAGGGCTGGAGCCCGTCTGCCCTGGAGTCAGGCTGGGAGAGCTGGGAATATCCATCTGGAGAAGAGAAGGCTCCATGGAAACCTCAGAGCCCCTTCCAGGGCCTAAAGGGGCTCCAGGAGAACTGGAGAGGGACTTGGGATGAGGACCTGGAAGGACAGGACATAGGAAATGGCTTCCCACTGGATTAGATGGGATATTGGGAAGGAATTCCTGGTTGGGAGGGTGGGGAGGGGCTGGGATGGAATTCCCAGAGAAGCTGTGGCTGCCCCATCCGTGGGAGTGTCCAGGTTGGAATAACCTGGGCTATGGAAGGTGTCCCTGCCTGTGGGACCAGATGATCCTTCAATCCCTTCCAACCGCCCTCGGGACACCACAAGCAGTGTCCCACCCTCTCTGTAATCCCAGCATTCCCTGTTTTTCTCGGCACAGAGCTACCCATCCCACTCCTCAGCCGACATCAACTCCAGTCTTCCTCCGATGTCCACGTTCCACCGGAGCGGGACCAACCATTATAGCGCCTCGTCCTGCACCCCCCCGGCCAACGGCACCGACTCCATCCTGGGTGAGCCCGGGAGCAGTGCTGGGAGTCACCGCGGGCGCAGCCCGGGAACGATTAAAGACAGGAAATAAGAACCCCCTGTTTGGTCTCTCCGGGAGCCATTCCGTGATGAAGTGACAGGGAAATGGGGACACATGGTTCGGATTACACACGTGATTCCGTGCGGGATGGCGGAGCGGCACTAATGCTGGAGGAATGGAGGGTGGGGTTGACCAGCAACAGATGGATGTGGGGTTTTTTTAGGATCTGGGAACAAAGGAGGAACTAAACCAGGCTCAGAGGCCGAGTTCTCCCAGGGGTTGTGGATTCCTGGTCCCTGGAATTGTGCCAGGGCTTGGAGTTAGGCTGGTGGAAGGTGTCCCTGCCCATGGAACGGGATGAGCCGTGAGCTTCCCAATGTGGAGGATCTTCCCAGTGCCTTGCTGCCTCCTGGCTTGGCTTTTCTAGGCTGGAATATCGCTGTTTTTGAGTTCCTACCCTGAAGGAACCACCCTCTGCCATCCTTTCCTCCTTGAGGGACTTCCCAGATCTCTGCTCCCTTCTTGGGGCTCTTTCCCAATCCCTGGAAGTGTCCAAGGCCAGGTTGGAGCAACCTGGTCTCGTGGAAGCTTTCCCAGCCCATTAACGGTTGGAATGATGATCCCTGTGGTCCCTTTCCAACCCAAACCATTCCATAAGACTGGAAAAAAAAATCTCTAATAGAGTCAAGTGAGGCTGAATTAAATTAAAGGTGACTCTTCTCTAATTAAAAGCAATTAAATAACAAATTAATTAAATAAATGAATTCCTGAAGGTGGAGCAGGAGTAGGAATTTTGGGATGTTCCCCTGGCTGGTTTTACATGGAATTTTTTGCCTTGCAGCCAACAGAGGAAGTGGGGCAGCGGGAAGTTCGCAGACTGGTGATGCCCTGGGGAAAGCACTCGCCTCTGTAAGGAAACATTTACTTTGGAATTCCCATGTCAACCCCTTGGGAAGGGAATTTGAGTCCCAGTTCTCCGACTGGAGTTGCTGGAGATGAGCAGCAGATCGCCCCCCTGGAGCCCGTGCCGGCTGGAATAGGGGATAATCAGGGAAAGGGGGTGTTGGGAAAGCTTTAGAGGGAATTTTAGGGTAGGATAGGAGTGGAAAGAGGGGAAGGCTTGAGGTGTGCCAAGTCCATCCCACTTTTCCACGGGAGAGGGAACCCGGCAGCAGGAACTACTCCTGCACTCCCAGACCACCCTCCAACAGGATTCCTTTGGAAATCCCTGGAGGTTCTCTCTGTTCTATGGCAGCTCCACCTCTCCAGTTCATGTGGTGGCTGTTAAAGGCAGCAGTTCCCATGTTTTTCTGGGATAACCGGATGCGACGCTTCCCAGCTCCCACTGGGATATTCCCGCCCCGTTCCCGCTATCCCGGTGGCACTGGCTGCCCTTTAACCAGGACCATCCCTATTATTTTCTGGGCACAGTGGGTTCCTTTGAGTTCTCATGACACTCGTTCATAAAATGAAGTCGAGACAATAAAATGGTGTCGGAGCCGATCCCTGAAATCCCAATCCCTGCAGTCCCTTCCCAAGGGACTCGGTGTCCAGTTTCCTCCTCTCCTGTGCATCAAAGAGCTGACTGGCACAGCCGAGAGGCTTTCAACTCTCCTGGAATTAATTGACTGGATCGGAAGGAATTTTCCAGCCTGTCCTGCTTTCATTGAAATGAACGGAATGCATAAGAATTCCAAGCTTTTTTTTTTTGTCTGGATCGGGTTGTGACGGCTTTAGATTAATTGTGTATCATCTTTTAAAGATCTATTCTCCAGATCACACCAACAACAGCTTTTCATCAAATCCTTCAACTCCTGTTGGTTCTCCCCCTTCTCTCTCAGGTATTGTTATGATTCTATTTTACGGAACGGGTCCTCCTAAGGTGGGTTTTTTTTGGGAAGAGATCCCTACCCGAGCTCAGACCGGGGTGTCCTGCCTCGGTGTCCCGCCTCCGGTGCAGAGAGAAGGTTGTTGCAGCTCCCAGTGGATGTGTCTCCCAAAATATCCCAGGTTATCCCTGTGGAGCTTCCTGCACCTCAGGGACATCCCCCAGGAACGGCGGGGCGATGGTTTGGAGCTAAGTCTGGGCAGTTGGATTTTAGGAAGGTTTTTTTAGGATCAGGGAGGTAAAACACTGACACAGGTTGTCCAGAGGAGATGCTCCATCCCTGGATTTCTCCAGGGCGAGGCTGGACAAGACTTGGAGCAATGTGGGATAGTGAGAGGTGTCCCAGGGTTGGACTGAATGACCTTTAGAGGTCCCTTCCAACCCCGTTCCATTCCATGATTTAGTGATCCTGGACTTTATTGGAATATTTGCATCCTTTCCCCAAATCCCGAGGCCTGGGGTTGTTCTCATGAGCATCAGGAGGTGGAAATAGTCCTCGGACTGGCATTCCCAGTTTTTAATCCGTGACCCTTTTCCAGCTGGCTCCTCTTCCCAGCAGCACATCCTACCTCCCTGGAGATCCCACTTGGAGCCCAGGTGTAATTCAAGATCCCTTGGATCCCGATTAACTCACCGGGAATCCGGAGCCAGAGCTGAGGGTGCTGTGTCTCTGTAGGGCAGTGAAAAGTGGGATCGTCCCTTGCTCTCCATGGGGAGCTCCTGATCCTCTCAGGTGATGTCCCACTTCCCAGACATTCCTACGGGGATGAGACCCTTTGTGAAGGAGGGATGGTCAGGGCAGGTCCAGGAGGGCACCACACCCACCTTCATCCTGTAAAATCGGGATGAAACCTATGGAAGCGACAGAGGGACCACCTGAGCTGGCTTGGGGGATCCCACACTCCAAAAAACAACTTCCCACCCTTATTTTCCCTGGAATTACCCCAAAATTTAGAAGGGACTGTGTATCTCCTTCCTTTCCCTACAGAAGGGGCTGAGCCCGAGGGAGGATTCCCTGATAATTTGGGCTATGCTGCTTCCCAGTGGGAAATAGGGATAACCCAAGGTGAACCCAGTATAGAAAATTAGGGAATAGAAGTGGATTGAAGGAAGAGCTGGAATTGTTTCCTTGGCAAACTCCTGGAGAGCAGGAATCCCTTTTCCTCCCAGCGCAGCGAGGCCGAGTTTGAGCTCCAAGCGCAGGAGTTCCGCCGAGGCTCCCGCAGAGGAGCGCCTCGGGAAGCTCCGGCTCGGCATAGGCCATTCCCACGCCTCGGAAAAAGCGTCCCAGAAAAGTCGGGAACGTTGTGCTCGCCGAGTTCCAACGGTAACTCCGATTTTACTTATTAGCAGGAACAGCTGTTTGGTCTAGGAATGGAGGTCAAGCGGCATCATCTCCCAATTATGAAGGTCCCTTACACTCCCTGGTATGTTCCAACCGGTGACCTCCTTCCTGCGGGAATTCCTTGCATTCAGTGATGTCGTGCTCCATCCGCCGCTTCCTCCCACGCAGGTTTCGCGCGCCCGGAGCGGCCCTGGAAGTCTCATCCCTATGGAAGTCGCGTGGTGGAGCCGGGGCGGGGAGGGTTGGAGGTGCTCCCAAGAGGGAAGTGGGGTGTTGGGATCTACTGGAAAGGGGGTGAGGAGCAGGAAAGAGGGTGAGGAGGGAGATGGGGGGGGATGGATGGATGGGTGGATGGATGGGAGTAGGAAGATGTGGTAGACTCAGGATGGTGCGTCCGTGAGTCCTGTGGGGTGAGGGAGAGGATGGTCAGGGATCCTCATGGAATGAGGGAGATGATGGTCAGAAATCCCCATGGAATGAAGGAGATGATGGTCAGGGGTCCTGGAGTGATGGGGGTGATGGTCATGGTCCTCTCCCCATGGAGTGAGGGATCCCCATGGAATGAGGGAGGTGATGGTGAGGGATTTTCTCCTCATGGAATGACGGAGATGATGGTCTGGGGTCCCTATGGAGTGAGGGAGATGATGGTGAGGATTCTCTCCATGGGGAATGAGGAAGGTGATGGTCAGGGGTCTTCTCCTCATGGAATGAGGGAGATGATGGTCAGGGGTCCCCTGGAATGAGGGAGGTGATGGTCAGGGATCCCCATGGAATGAGGGATATGATGGTCAGGGGTCTCCTGGAGTGAGGGAGATGGTGGTCCTGGTCCTCTCCCTGCAGAGTGATGGAAGTGATGGTGAGGGGTCTCTGTGCAGTGATGGAGATGATGGTCCTGGTCCTGTCCCCACGGACCGAGGGAAGGGATGGTCTCCGTTGGAAGTATCGGGAAGTTTGCCGGAGTCAGGAATTAAGATGGGCTGGTTTTCCACCCCAATCCAGAAATCCTTGTGCTGATGGAAGCCAGTGTTTTCCAGGCTTTCCTGTGAAGGTTCTGGGGAGCAGGGGATGGCTGGGGGCTTTGCTGAGGAGCTCCGGCAGCTCTACCTGGTTCCCTTGGCAGCTCAGGGTCCTGGGGAGGTTCCATAGCCCTTGAGATTGTCCCGTTGGGATTCTCCAGCACCTGGAGACTGTCCTGGTGAAGTTCCAGGTTCTCCAGAACTTAGAAAGTGTCCTATTGAGGTTCCAGGTTCTCCAGCGCTTGGGAAGTGTCCTGTTGTGGTTCCTTAGCCCCTGGGAACTTCAGGGCTGTGCTGTTGAGGTTCTCCAGCACCTGGAGACTTGGGAAGTGTCCTGTTGTGGTTCCTTAGCCCCTGGGAACTTCAGGGCTGTGCTGTTGAGGTTCTCCAGCACCTGGAGACTTGGGAAGTGTCCTGGTGAGGTTCTAGATTCTCCAGCACTTGGGAAGTGTTCTGTTGATATTCCTTGGCCCTTGGGGACTCGGGAAATGTCCTGTTGAGGTTCCCCATCCCTTGGGAGCTCTGACCTGTAGGGATTAAACCCCCGTGGCTGCGGGACCTGGTAGTTCCTCCTCCTTTCCGTGTGTGATCCTAGGATTATTTGAGCGGGGAGGAAAATGGCAGTGAAACCTCTTTGTTTCTTTCCTTCTCCTGCTTTTCTTTTTGATTTTCCTTTGGAATTTTCAGTTTTTGAATCCTTCTTTTACGTCGCTCTCACTCCACCTCTGCTGAGACCTGGAGGGCGAATGCTGTCCTGGCCTGATTCATGTTCATGAGGAATCATTGAACCTGTTTTGCCCATGAAAATCAAAGCTGGACTCGTTAACATTCCTTAGGGCTCAACACTCCCCGGGGTTCAACCTTCCCTAGGGTGTGGAATTCCCTAGGGAAGCAAACCCGTTCCTTAAGAGAAAAAAAATCCAAGGAAAACCTAGTAAATCCAAGGATAATAAGGTGGAAGCACAAGGGGCTGAGCAGGGAGGCCTGACCGTATCCCGGGGCGGGCTCCTCATGCCATTCCCACTTTTCCCGCCCCGCAGCAGAGCCGGATCGAGGACCGGCTGGAGCGGCTGGACGACGCCATCCACGTGCTGCGGAACCATGCGGTGGGAGCGGCGCCCATGGCCGGGGCCCACGGGGACATGCATGGGCTGCTGGGCGCCCACAACGGCGCCATGGCCGGGCTGGGCGCCGGCTACGGCACCGGGCTGCTCTCGGCAAACCGCCACTCCATCATGGTGAGCGGGCACGGCCAGGTGGGCCACGGGCACAGCACGTGTGGGGCTGGTGGGAGCGTCCCGGTGGGAGAGGAGCAGCCCGGTGGGGTGGGAGTGGCTCCGGGGAAACGGGAGCGGCCCAGGGGGGCGGGAGTATCCCATTGGGATGGGAGGATCTGACTGGTGTAGGATGATCCCAGTGGAAACTGCCTCATGGGAATGAGAGAATCCCAGTGGGACAGGAGTATCCCAGTGGGAGCTGCCCCATGGCAGGAGAATCCTAGCGGGATCTACCCCATGGCAGTGGATCAGGAGCATCCCAATGGGGTAGGAGAATCCCAGTAACAGCTGCTCCATGGGAATGGGAGCATCCAAGTGGGACAGGAACATCCCATGGGGA